TTTTTGGGGGTTTCCCCTCCCGGAGACGTTTTTTAGCCCGGGGTACCCCCCCGGGGGGGGCTGGCCCATTTTACCCAACGGGGGGGGGTTCTTCCCTTTGGGGGGGGGGGGGGTTTTTGGCCCCCCCCCCCTTTTTTTTGTCCGCCCCCCAATTGGGCCCCCCCCAAAAAAATCCCCGGGGGCAAAAAACCTGGGGGGTTTCCTGTTTCCGGGTTTCCGGAGGGCTTTTCTTTTTTTTCCCCCTTTTTTCCCCGGCGAAAAAACCCCACCCCCGGTGAAATCCCCGGGGGGGGGGGGGGGGGGGGGGGCATTGATTTCGGACGGCATCCATTACGAGATCTGTACCACTCTCATCCATTGCAAGGCCTGTAGTGCTCTCATCCATTGCGAGGCCTGTAGTGCTGTCTTCGTGCCGTAGAAGAGCCTGTCTGTTTGTTGCAGTTTTGAGTCTGAATCGCTCGCCCCCATCCCTACACACCAATCTTGGCGTGGTATCGAGTAACCCTGTGGTGTGGTATAGTGGGGGTGGCGGTTTGGCGACCCCCTGTGCAGCGACGTGCCCTGTACTGTGACCACAAAATCGCGTAGCGCCATTGCACCCCGACCAATGGCCGCTATACCGGCAATATCGACCTGCCCTGAATGACAGCGACCAGATCCCCTCCGAACACGCTGCACCAGGTCCTCCACCGTTCAAGTGACTAATGTAGTTGATAGGTACTGCTGTAGCTGAAGTGAGCCCCAGTGGTTCCCTCCCCGGTGGGGGAGGCTTGTGTGGCATTGGTATCTACGGGGTAAGTATGGTCTGTGTTTGTGATTGGGTTGGTTTCGTAGGTTAGCAGCTTGGGCTGCACACCATCTTGGCGGGGACGACAGCAGATTCTGTTTTTTTTTTGTTTTGTTTGTCGTGGTTTTCGCTCTTGGCGCACATTTGGTCTACTCGCGAAACTACGTGCCTCATCCCCGCTGCCGCCGCCGCCGCCGGCTCCGCCGCCTCAGGAAATTTCTGAAGCAATTCCCGACGTCCGGGAGGTACCGCCGCATGCTGGCCCAGGCGGAGATGGAGAGCGGTGATTGGCAGGCTGCCGATAAGGTCCGGTTCCAAGTCGGTCGTAAAGGGGCTCTTGTCGCCTTTGTTCACTTTTGTTCACACCCGCTTGTTTACTACTATAGATTGATCTTGTAGCCATATCTGGCCCAGCAGAATGGATTGGAGAGCCATCCGCTGGCCGACTTTGACAAACACGTCGTGCCTCGCGTGCGCCGGTATGCTAGGGATGCGCGATCCTCTGTGTGTGTCGGCAATTCTTCATTGGTGTTGAGAACGGACTGATTAGAAGCCCCCGCCTAACCGCCGTCGGGGAGCATGGGTGACTGACGAACGCGCGACGCCCAATGTCACACCGTTTGGGAATTCGAGGTCGGCGTGTGATGGAAGGAGTTGTAGCATGCATGACGTGACTGTGGCAACGAGACCTTTACCCCCCCCCCCCTCCCTGCAAGCCCCCCACTCGGTGTTTGCCATCGGGATTGGGTTTTCGTCGCTTGGCAACGACGTTGTAAAACAAGCCAATTCACTTCGTGAACTCGACAACCAGGTTACCGTTTTTTTTTTTTTTTACCTCGGTTTTTTTTTTTGGCGGTAACCATAATGGTGGTCGAGTAGATCATGTTGTGCGGGGTCGAGAACCCTCACTCCGCGCAACGGGGGATGATCGCACCACGTTGTGTTAAAATGGTCAAGCTTCCTCGAGGCAGTTACACAGTGCTTACAACTGTCTCTGGAAGTGAAAGCACCAGAAAATAAATTAAGTCATACGTAGCTGTCATCCGTACGCAAGGAAGTAAGCACAAGATGCCGAACACCCTTAGCAGGATGCAGCTCACCCTTCATGCGACTCGCCAAATACCTCACGGCGCTTCGCGCTTGGTGATGTGAGAGCCTGGTCCGCCCCCCCCCCCCCCCCTCCCTGCAAGCATGGATTAGTCATCTTGAGCTGGTGCAGTATGCACATAACGATGGAAGGTGTACCCGGCGTTGGGACTGGACCGACCGAAAAGGTCGTGGTATTGTGTTCGAATTTGTGTAATATATGTCCTGGGGTTTGGTTGTGTTTGCCGCCGTAACGCCGTGTGTTTAGTGAAAGTTGGGAGCTTCGCCTGTCGGTCGGTCGTGGACCCCAACGAACGTGTTGGGTTCGATCTGCGAGTGTTGCCGCCGTGCCCTGCGTTCGGTTCGGTGAGAGTTAAGAGCAAGTGTCGCTGGTCCAACGTGGTAGGTTCTGCAAGAGGGCCTGGAGACCTGCGCCAGCCTGGAGCTCTGGCTGCTCTACCTGGAGAGGGTCAGGCGCTCCGCGGTGGCTGGCGGGGGCCGGACGGAGCAGGAGGCGAGGGAGGACACGATCGCCGCCTTCGAGCTGGCGCTTCTGCACGTCGGCTGCAACCCGGCCTCGACCCCGCTGTGGCAGAAGTACCTGGACTACATCAAGAGCTGGGAGGAGAGGAGCCCGCTGGACAAGGGCAACAAGATGACCGCCATTAGAAAGGCAAGAGAGGGGGGCTACGTGAAAGGCGGTTTGTTTTGTTTGGACACGAGGGGGGGGGGTGTACTCATAGTCGTGCATGCCGTAGTCGTTAGACCATTGACCTCGCATCCCTACAAAGCCGGGACGGAGCACGCCGGGTTCTCACCGGACCAGGCTCTAGGGGGGGGGCATGGAGAAAGGCACGTGATGATGTGTTCATCGGTTGTGTTGAAGGCGACAGCAGTAATAGTATAGGTCAAGACTGACGAGATACACGTACGGTTAAGACAGGCTGAACATCACAGAGTAGACTCTACGCTCGCCTTTCTTCGATATCAAAGAAGACGATGGTAATGGAGGCGAGAGCGACTGGGAATTTGTCAGGCACAGCGCAGCAGCGAACTACTTCAAGTATACGGAAGATGTACTCGCGTGTCGTAAGCATGGATCATCAACCACAGAACGTCATGCGCCCATTGATCAGAGTAAGTGGGACAATCTTGACGGTTCCATCAGTGCCATGCGAGTGCACCGGCCATGTGCAGTGCGACCGGCCTTTGTTGTGCGACATTTGACAGGCATCACTACAGTAACCACAATGTGTTTATTTCGTCAACTCAAGTGTGGTCCACCCAAAAAACACCGACTCGCTCCCGCACCTGCCCGTCTTGATTCTAGCCTAGGCTGCTGCCGCGGCTTCATCTCATCGGAGCCGTTTCTTCCTGCTTGTCCACCGGTAGCTGAACCTCTAGTGGTGTCGCCCTTAACGCTGCGCCGCTGCCAAGCCTTATTCAAATTGTTACCGTATCCATCGACACTTGTTGCATCTATCCACCGCTGCACACCCCATGGTGTTGTATTGTTAAGCCTATCCTTGTGCTGTTGACCCTATCCCCCCGGTACTTGTTGCATCTATCCACCGCTGCACACCGAACGGTCCGTGCTGTTCAGCCTACCATGTGTGCTGTTGACCCTATCCCCCCGACACTTGTTGCATCTATCCGCCGCTGCACACCGAATGGTCCGTGTTGTTCAGCCTACCATGTGTGCTGTTGACCATATCCCCACGACACTTGTTGCATCTACCTACCGCTGCACACCGAATGGTCCGTGCTGTTCAGCCTACCATGTGTGCTGTTGACCCTATCCCCACGACACTTGTTGCATCTACCTACCGCTGCGTACCGAACGGTGTGTGTGTATGTGTGTGTTGGGACAGGTTTACCGGCGAGTTGTGGCGTTGCCCCTAGACGGCCTTGAGCCGCTCTGGCGGGAGTGCGAGGAGTTCGAGATGGCCGGGAACGAGGTGCTGTGGAAGACCAAGTTCAGCCTTGAGTACTTGCCCAAGTACGTTTAACTTTAGCGCCTCATAAATGTTATACATGCGCACACATCCTATGTGAACCCCGGTTGGGTCGTCTAGCTAGTAGAAGTGGAGGATAGGGGGCCGGAGGGGCAGACGACAGAATCCAATGATGGGAGAACAAATATTATATATATATTTACACCCGTTGGAGATGGTAGTCAAGAGGGGAGGTGGTGAACTGTTCAAACAAGCGAGCAATGAACTAGACCACGTTTTACGGTTTACTTGTACTCTGCATGTGTCTTCAGTAGTATTCGTTTCTTCGACGCCCCCTTTTGGTCTGTTTTCTTGCCATGCGAAGGAGCCATGCTGTTCCAACATCTCAATATCTGCAGCTTTACTTGTAGATCAACGTGCTCTTGTTTTTGCGAACCCGCCGAAGAATATGGCAGCATCTCCCAGCTGTGCCAACTTCCTCGATGCTCATTTTTTTTCTTGTCCGTGAGGAGATGGGTGCCAAGATTCCGCAGTCTGATGCCCCCTCCCCCCGCTACTGCAGATTGCGCTCGTCGAGATTCATGGACGTCCATGTCGCTTGTGGACTCTTTTGTTGTTGTCGTTTGAGGTTAACTGGCCTTTGCTTGTCCGACTCGTAGGCTCGTTTGCCTATTATTGGGGCCGTTGCTGCAATAAATCAGGCCAAGTTCTGGAGCGGCGGCGCCAGCCCCATGCTTGTCGCACCATGCGTTTTATTTCTTTGTCGGCGTTTTGCATATGGCGCCGATCGTTTTTTTGGTCATTTACATGGTTGTCAAGAAGCGGCGAGTTCCTTTTATGCAACCGGAGGAAAGCACTATTTTGTTTCAAAACCGCACGTTAATGTTGCGAAAATATCCCGGTCGGTCATTCGCAATACACGTTAAGTCAGTTTTGGCCCCCAACCCCCTGTCGAGCTTCCAAGCTAGACGTGCGAGGCGGCTCAAAATCTGGGTGTGTTGCGTGGCCTGACGAAAGCAGCGTATGGTTCGTGTCTCATCCATCTTGCTTTGTGGGTTGATTGGCCTGTCTTCCTGTCCCAGGCACATGGCGGCCAAAGCCGTCTACAAGGAGAGAAAGCCGATTTGGGACGGCATCGACCCAAACCTCCTGGCCAGACCTCCTCGAGGACACCACGGGGGAAGCGGCGGCGGCGGCGGCGGCGGCGGGAAGGACAGGAAAAAGCGAGAGGAGGCGCAGGCTGGCCAGTACCGGCTCTGGAAAAGAAGGCTAGCCTTCGAGAGGACCAATCCAGAGGTGTCCTGTATATGCGTAGCAAACACCACATTTTGCCTTATCCGCCCCCCCCCCCCCCCCCCCCCAGGTCAATGGTCTAACCCCTAAGGCATGCAAAACATGAACACGTTCCTGCCCCCGCGCGCATACTCGTGCGATTTTTTTTACCAAGCATGTCTCACCGCGCGGTTTTCAGTAAGTGCCACCCTAATGGTCGTTTCTCCGACGTCGTGCTAGTAGAGTTTTGGTGTTTTTTTACTCTTGGTGCTGCTTTTGCGATCGATGGCCAATCGGTGTCTCCGGCGGCAGTTGACGGACGAGGACGGGCTGCGGGCGAGAGTGCGCCACAGCTACGCTCAGTGCCTCAGCCACCTGAGACATTTCTGCGAGGTGTGTGTGTATGTGAACGGTCGAGGAGGCGGGTAGTGCTCGTGCTGTTGCCGCTGTTCCTGCTGCTGGGTTTGTATTGTCGTTTGGGTGTGGTTTGGTTGTGTTGAAGGATGTTGCAATGCTTCCGCAAGAATGCTGTTTTTGTTTGTTTGTTTGTTTGTTGCACTGCTTCCGAACCAATGCTGCAGTGTGTTGAGGATTTTGTTTTCAGTTGTCCTCCTTGCTGCTGGCACTCTCTCGCGTGGGAGAACACACAAGAGATATTGACGCCCGAGATCATTGACCTTCCGAAAGAGTTGCCAGGGAAAAAACTTTGTTCATAGCACGCCCGTGGGCGTAATGATGTGCGGCTCGGTGCACATCCACTTCTTGGGTACGTAAGGAGAAAGGTGTTGTGCGGCAGGCAAACGTCTTGCTGTGATGAGTGAAAGTGTTGTTTCTATCGCTACGACGACACGCACAAACGTTTGAACGAACCGTGTTGAGTGTTGCTATGTGCTCTCGCTCTCCCGACAGATCTGGTACGACCTGGCTGAGTACGAGTACTCCCTGGGGGAGGCCGATCGTGCCGCCGCGGTCTACAGGAAGGCGGTGGAGGTACACCATCCAGGATCATGTCATGCCCGTTTTTTTTTGCTTCTTTTTTCATGTCTCTCCTGTTTTTTTGTCTACACAGCATGCTGCTGTTTTGCTGCCGAGTCCCGGGTTTTCCTCGCGAACCACAGGATGCGTCGAGCCTTGGACACCTCGCACAGAGCACCGAATCGTGAGTCTTGTCAGTCAGAACAACTGAGAAAGTCCACTGGTAAGTTTGTCAGGAAATGGTAAGTACAATAGAGGTAGCTCCAAGGGCGTCCGGTTCCGGTTCCGGCAAGATGACACGTGCGCACGCCTGCTCTTTCCTCCGTTGTTCTCACCTGCCACGCCGCCGCCCCCCCCCCCCCCCCCGGCCTTGTCCAGGTGATCCCCGGGAGTGACCTGCTGCGCGTGGCGCAGGCGGACTTGGAAGAGCGGAGGGGGCGCATCGAGGAGGCCGATGCCGCCTGGAAGGCGTTCCTCAAGGACCGTCGCAGCACCACCGGGCACGTCATGTACCTCAGGTCTGGCTCTGTTTTGCATAAACATACATATATTTATTTTTCCGATCGGGTTCAGTTCTAGGTCTCTTCTTTTATTCTCTTCTTTTATTTTCCTTCCGACGAGTTCGTCTTTCTTGTTTTGTTTTTTTTGCGTTCGTTGTATTTTTCTATCGATCTCGTCCTGCGTGTTTCCCGTCTTCGTTTTGTCTGGTTTGGTTTGGTTTGGTTTGGTTACCGGTACCGCCATCCCACCCTCCTCGAAACGAAACGGCAAAAGCCAACATTCGATGCTGTTGTGGTCCGTGCTGTGAGTGAAGGGTCGGCGCCGCCGCCGCCGCCGCCGGACCTGGCTCTTGTTGGGCGTGCACTCGCACGTCCGCAACCCAATGGGCCACCGGACCATCCTATCCTCCGTCTTCGTTTGGCATTTGTGTCTCCATCAACACAGCACCATGCGAGGGCGGAAACACACAAAAAAAAACTCCACCATTGCAGAACCGATAGCGTCATGGGACCCACTCCCGGCGTACGTACCAGAGGGAAGCAAGCGTATCAATAGTTCAAGACAGCAGGCCACCCGCCCCCGCTTCTCTTACCCACATTTCGGGAAATACATGCATCCCCCGTGGTTGTTTTGCGTGTGCAATTACTGCTTGCGTACATGCGTGTCTCCACCAACACAACACAGCACAACACCGTGCGCGTTTGCTACGGAAACACAAAAGCTCCACTTACTATCCAGATAGCAATAAGACCCCCCCCTCTCTCGCTCTCTCTCGTACCGACATCTTGGGAAACACCGACGCTCCATGCTCGATGCCCGGTTCGTGTTTGGATACATGCGCGTCGTTTCCGTCAACACCGTACGAGCACTGTACAGTACGGAAACACAAGACTCCAACCGAATCAGACCACCCCCCCCCCCCCCCGGGGGTGGGTGTTCTGGGTGGGGTTTTGCCCGCTTGGGGTCCGGCTGTTTTTTTTTGGGCTCCCTCTGT